ATGGACTTGTGCGTTAATATAATTAGTCTAGTTTTGCTCAGACAGACCAGTTCTCATGCCTATGACATAACGGGTACATTTGGCAACAGGGAGTCTGGCAGAAGCAATGATCAAAATCAGATAGGCAGGAGGTAAATAAGGAAGTCATTACATGCAAGCGGGTACCCTGACATTCAAGTTATAACGCCTTCAGCACTTTCTTAGGTAATGCACTCAACAGTCGATTAGTTAGCTCACTGACTATAGTAGTATATACTCGTACAATTAAATCTACTTGAGTGCTATAGAAAGGCTAATGACATTTGATCTTTTACACGGAGTCACCGATTATATAAATTGAGTACTTTTTTCCCCCCTTGGCACTACAGCCCCAGTGGGCCTAGGTCTACCTCCATGAACTTCTCCGTTCACTTCGGTTTTTCTAAATCTTACACATTCGGTAGGACTCCTTGGACGGGTGATCAGCTCGTCGCAAGGCCTCTACCTGTACACAAACACAGAAAAACGCACACACACAAACTAAACATCCATGCCCTGAGTGGGATTCGAACCCACGATCCCGGTTTCCAAGCGAGCGAAGACAGTACACGCCTTAGACCGCTCGGCTACCGTGACCGGCCAAATTATGTACGTATGGATAACAATTTGATGTAGTCCATGACTTCTATTCCCCCCAAAAATATAGTTTTTGTGCCGGAGTACTGTAAAGATTCTGTCTGTGGAGTCCTCACCTCAGCTGTCGGTTTCACTGATCCCAAATCCCGAAAAATTTCTTTCGTCTTAACACCACACGGCCTGCAGAAGTTTGTTACATCGACATGAACTTAGGACACGCTTTCAGAGCCCAAGAACTGAAGTAACAAAATTTCCGATTGGTAGAGAGAGCACTATGGTGATACGTTTAATTTTAGCATTGTGACATGACACCTGGATGCCGGAATAATCCATTGCTAGCCAACGGCCAGATAACACATACTCGTATTTTCGGGACAAGTTGGAAGAGTCCATTGCTGAGCAACAGTTCGGTGAGAACTTTCCAGTGGAAACGAATAAACACAGAAAAAAACAGAACAACAGAGGAACTGTAAGACATGTTTATCTAGATTCGGTTCGCCTAGAAGTTAGTTCAGTCGAGGAGGCTTCAATCGCAAGTGAAAGAGCTCAACCGTAGCCCTACGAGTCATAGGAAGCGACGAAAAGGGAAGTCTCGAATCTAAGACAGTGAAATATGGTCGCGAGTACCACAGCACTCAGATCTGAGAATGACTGCGCGGGCGAGGGCCAGCAGCAATTGTGAACGACAGATCCGTCCTCTCGTCAGAGAGAGCGCCCCACATCAACAAACCCGCAACTGTCTGACAGTAATAAAAATCTGGTCTTAAGCCCAAGTTGGCTGCTTTATTCCAAGAAAGACTGGCCGACTGACCGTCGGTCGTAATATAGAATTCAGACTCAGACTCGCAAGCGAGTCTTCATTCGGCATTCGTAAGGGATTCTTTCGTTCGTCGTTCGTCATTCGTCACAGCAGAAGAGAAGACACTCGTAATCCAGTAAGGAATGGAGCGAGACTAAAGGCTCGTCCACGTTACTCGTGCTCGTGCTCGTGTGACTCGCTATGCTCGCGAGTAATGTGGACGATATGACAAGTCACGAGACAAGCAAATTTTAAAATTTTAATTTAAAGACTATAGCCAATAAATTAAAATACGACTACAGCCTATACACACTACGAGTAAATATACGGATCCTTACGCGCCGAAGCCTGGCGAGCAACTGAAGTATTGTGGACGAAGATTTACGAGCACAAGTGAAAGCCAGACGAGTCTCCCGACGAGCACGAGCACGAGTAATATGGACAAGCCTTTAGACAGTCACTGACTGTGAGCTGCTATAGTTGATTGTCATTGTAACAGAAGCGGCAATAAATCCAATTATCTAATTCAGAACCCATATAATTCATCACGCAAACCCCTCATACGTGACAATATATTAATTAATCGGAGACAGTAGTGATTTGTCGGTTGCTCACAAGAAAAGTGTAACCTTCCTGAAATAAGTTGCGATAAACTGTTTGGCGACAAGGGGCCTGAGTTCCGTCCGTCGCTATCGAGTTCTAGAAGTTTACCGAATTATATTACTCAAAACACAACCTTTGACAAGTTCCCTCAGTAATTTAGAATAACTGCTATGTTCTATACTTAATATTCAACTCCTTTACATACCGTTGCTTGTATCACGTCACAAATGCTTTTGTGCAGTAAACGCACCTGCGTTCCAGCGGTCATCTACCTTAACTTAATGTGAAAGTATGAAATCTGTCTAAACTCACATGAGAATTGATTAATTATGATGGCGATCATGCAACAGTATATTCTCATCAAGTAAAATACTCATAAAGTTGCGGCTTTCGAAAGAACATGATTTGAACTGTGAGTCACAAATTGTAGCCACAAGTGAAGCGTTAAAATATAGTAACTTCAATTCGTAGCACGAAGAAAAATCAATTAAAAATACTGTATTCAAATCAACATTACTTTACTTATCTAAAAAAAGTCATGTATAGAATGGTACGCGTGACGAAAATGAGGGGATCTAGTTTGGATTATTATATTTATTAGCACCTTGGTTACAAGTTCTCTTAATCACATCTAAATATACAGCTATCGCTGATTTACACACACACTGGTCCTCTCCTGGTACCACAACTGAAAGACAGGGACTACAACAGTCTCGCTGAAACACACATCCAAGTATTACACATCAATGAAGCCTCCTAACCACACACCAGGTCTTCACAGGCCGACTGCTTATTATTCTTCCACGACGAACCTTCCGTGTCCATCTTCCACCGAGAACTGAACTGGTGGCGCCGTTCGTCTTTAAGATAACTCCTTAGACGTACCACACGGAAAACACCGTCTCCCATTGTTATGTATGCATGTTTACCGCTGCGTTGCCTGGAAACAAACTTCTACTCGTATCTCTGTGCTTCTACTCGGCGCAGACCACATAGAAAACACAGCTTCCCTTTTATTGTTGCCTCTATTCGTGTTTACAGAAGAGCTGTTGTCTAGCAACGCGTTTATCAAATCCGTTTCATTGCTCCCTCCTTAAGGCTTCTCGTCCTAAATAGCCTAACGGTGCATCACATTTCCTCCTTTCCGGGGTTGTGCTTTCAACGTCTTCCTGCAAGTTGTTCTTTACTTTTCCCCCGGGGTGACTATTCTTCAACCGCTACCACGGCTCCCTCCTTAAGGCCAGCTAGTCACGAGCTGTTTCCTGATGGGATTCCAGTCAGTTCAACAACTCACCATCATACATTTCCTTTTTTTTTTTTTTTTTCTTTGTGGGGCAAAACTGTCCTGAGTGACCGGTACTCCCATATTTCCGGCTCCTACTCCATGCACAATCTCTTTTTTCGTTTCGGAGGGGGTGACCTCTCCACAAGGTCCATTTCCTCATTTTCCGAAACACTCTGGACATCCCGGATGCTCGCTTCACCATTTCCAACTCTAGGGTCTTCTTGAGTGCTTCTTGGCCGGTCCTCTTCTTCCCAGAGGTGATAGCTGTCTTCAGCTCCACCCTCCCACACCGATCGTGGTTGCCCTCTTCTTTCTCACATATAGCGGTCGCTTGTTACCTAGATCCTATGCTCCTAATATTCCTTCCTTACTTATTTATGGAGCCCTTCTTCAGGAGAAGCCAAATCTGCAGCTACTCAAGAATTTCACAGAATTTTATGGAACCAGAAGGTTCATTACGGTGTTCACAAGAGCCCTTCACTGGTCTATATCCTGAGCCAGATCAATCCAATCCATACCAGCCCATTCTATCTCTCTAAGATCCATTCTAATATTGTCCACCCACCTACGCCTTGGCCTTCCCTGTGGTCTCTTTCCCACCAATATCCTATACGCATTCCTCGTCTCCCCCATTCGTCCTACATGACCTGCCCACCTCATCCTACTTGACTTGATCATTCTAATTATACTTGGAGAAGAGTACAAGTTATGAAGCTCCTCATTATGCAGTTTTCTCCAACCTCCTGTTACTTCATCTCTCTTCGGTCCAAATATTCTCAATACCCTGTTCTCAAACACCCTCAGTCTATGTTCCTCCCTTAATGTCAGAGACCAAGTTTCACACCCATACAGAACCACAGGCAAAATTATAGTTTTGTATGTTCTAATTCTTATGTTTTTGGACAGCAGACGAGAAGACAAAAGGTTCTGGACTGAATGGTAGCAAGCATTACCCGAGTTCAATGGCCTCTTAATTTCCTCCTGAATCAGGTTTCGATCTGTTATCGTTGTTCCCAAATATCTGAACTGTGCCACATTTTCAAAACATCTGTTTCCTATCTTTATGTCATGATTTAGCCTTGCATTTTGGTGACGAGACAGCAACACATACTTAGTTTTCTTAGTGTTTACTTCTAGACCAACCTCCTTACTTGCGTCAATTAAAGTTTGTGTGTTTTCCTTTATGGTATCTACATTATCACCCAGTAGAATCACATCATCTGCGTAGGCCAACAGCTAATGTGTCCCGTTTAATTTCAGCCCCACCTGGCTTCCCTGGACCTTCCTAATGGCATACTCTAAAACAAAATTGAAAAGCAGTGGCGATTCCTTAATGACGCGTCCGTAAATTCTTCCTGAGCGGCCCTACTTTCCGGGTTGCTCACTCAACCAGAGCAAACGTATTACAAAGACTACGTTACGTTAGGATTGGTAAAATTATTACACTGAGGCTAATAGAAACGAAGACGTTACAGTAAGTTGAAGACGCGCAAAACATTCAGACCCACCAAACGGCACGGGCTGTGCTCATCATACTGCATGCAACGTTGTACGGTTCTGCTGCGACCTTCAGGGTCCTAATTTCATGACATCGGCTACAGTCACTGCTGGCCCTCAGGTACCCATAAGGGCCATGTGTACTAATTCCTGTGTGTCGTAGCTTTCTTACATGATGATCCCCATGTGCACTTTCCTCAGCACCGCCATCGGCTGGAAGGTATTGGCACAGCTGCACGAGAAGGGTGGAGACCTGCGCATGCGTACACGTGTGACGTGACGGACAAGAATCAGGTGGAGGAATTGGCTCAACAAGTGCTGAGAGATTTGGGCCGAGTGGACATTCTGGTGAACAACGCCGGCATGAAGCCGATCTCCCATATGGAGGCAACCGAAGTGGTCGTTGATGCCGTCAATGTGAATCTCTTATCTCATTTTTGGGTGAGTAATTCATTTTCTATTTCTCTATGGCTCTACAGCCCATTTTCAGTTTCTTAACCTATACACAATGGGTAGGACTCCTTGGACGGGGGATCAGCCGGTTGGAAGGCCGCTACCTACACAGAGAACAACACAAACAGAATAAATGCACACAGACATCATGCTTTGAGTGGGATTTGAACCCAAGATCTCAGTGTTCGAGCGGGCGAACACAGTTCATGCCTTAGACAGCGCGGCCATTGAGATCGGCGACTAATTAATTTGACATCCTTATTTACATAGTTAGCTTCTAACCACGACGCTTAAGAACAAAGTGCACAGAGGAAGTAAGGACAATATATAAAATTTAAGTCATGAGCCCTTCATGCTTGTACTGTTCGCTAAATATTTTATGGTGATCAATTAAAGGAGGCGGCGATAGGCTACACAGCGCGCATGAGACGTTTTGAGACTGAGCTACTGTCAGCTTCTCTAGAAGAAGTCTGCTCATTTCAGTTAGTTGAAAACACTTCCCAGATTCGCCGTATACAGTAATCCGTGGAAAGTGGATATCCTGCTATCTTTCTAGAACTTCTTGTTGCTCAGACAACTTCGAACATCAGTTCATCAGCGCTGCACACTCTGACCCAAGAAAGCCGCTGAGGTGTGACAGGCCTGACCGTCCAGAACGATATCATAAACGTCTGGTTCTAATACGGGCCTGATCACTCACCCAGAATTTGGCAGGACCGAGGAAAAAGGATTTTACAAATGGAAATGCAGCTTTAAGTCATAATGGGTACATCACGGCTATCCGCCCGTCTGTTCACGCGTCTTTTTCTTTAAGCGTTTGGATGCAATTCTGGGTTAAGAATTTACACTAAAATTATCGAGCGATTTAGTTTCAGTTCATATCGGTCCAATATAACCCCCAATGTGCGTGGTGCTGACGCTCACTTTTGTCAGCCTTCTCAAACACGACTTATTATTCAGAAATCTGTTGCATAAAGTAGTGTATAATTTGGCGGGTAAGACTTTTGTCAGAAGCGGTTTTCGAAGTGGTATATTTTTAAATAACTTGCAAGGCATGGGTTTGATTACAGGCAGAAGTAGCATTTTTCTCTCCTCCCCAGCTTCCAGGCCGGCTCTGGGGGCCACCCAGGTTCCCAGCCAATGGGTACCGGACGCAATGTCCCCGGGCATAAAGTGGCCGGGTCGTAAAGCTAACTACTCACTAATCTTATCTCCAAGCCGGGGATGGAAGTGCGCAAGTCGTAGTGTTTTCTGAACAGCAATTTGGTCGGCTTGGGGACCCGGTGGTGGGGACAGCGATTTTCGAAAGTAGTATATGACACTAAATTTAAAAGCCCCCAAAGTAATATAAAATTAATTAACTTTTTCAATTTTATCTTTATTAATTGAAGTTGACTGTATATTAAATCAATAAAAATGCGCGGGGGACTGAGACGCGAGCGCGAGAGTGCGACAGCCGCTGCGCGCGCAGCTTAGAGGGAATATTGTCACTCACCTCCCTCACCTCCATCTAGTGCTGGGGTGAAGAATGGTGGAGCTATACATGCACTCCTCCATACTTCGTCATGGCATAGGGCTTATATAAACAATCAGAGGGGTAACTTTACTTTTACCTTACGAATAAACATGTTTCCAGTAGTACAGTACTGGTAATCCTTGTATCACCAATTTGTCTATACAATACGTGAACATCAAGGCCAGTGAGTTATGCGAATCAGCTCTGCTCATTTGGAAAATGCTTGCGGACCATTTCAAGATGTAATCGGACCTTGGGGACAACTTCGGCGGTTTAGTATTGTGAGTCCTTTAACCTCATTTGTTAGCGTTTCTTTCTATGTAAATTCAATAATACGTCTTTTGATCGACACTATATAGTCTCGATACTGACAGCCTGTATGGACAATAAGTCTCGATAATGGGTGATTCATTTTCTACTTTCAGCCCTCTGGCAATTCAAGAAGTGAATGTTACAAGAGAAGTTCGCTCTTCACCCTCCAAACATTTAAACAGCTGCCATTAAAAGACATGGCGCCTCATGAGTTCTGTTTTACCAGAATCGGCGCATGGCTACAAGAGTATATTCTAAATTCTGAAATTTTATTACTAATATACTTACAATGAAACCAATATAAATGGTTAACAATGCTTTCTCCGGGTTTTGAATCCTTGGACTTTCCGGAATTAACATTTGGAGCGGTAATATTTCAGCAGACGATATGAAGCCCAATATGGCATGCACACTTTCAAAGAACTCGTTGAGAAAATACACGTACTTCAACTTGGAATGTACCTTTCCTCTCTTATTTACTTCATGGAATATCTATCTTTGTATTACGTCGACTGCTCGTTTAGTGCTCTTTCGCAATCAGCCTGTTTACGAAAACAGACATTAAGTTGTCTGTCACTGGTGACTCCCGTTCTTCTTCTGTTCCCAGACACTGCTGGCTTTCGTGCCTGGCATGGTGAAGAGAAACCACGGTCACGTGGTGGCTGTTTCGTCTGCGATGGAACTGTCCCAAGTGTCTGACAAGCTTCCCTATTCCGCAGTCACAGGTAATACTTTTATATCACAGATAACAAGTGAAAACCATAGAGCCAATGGTTATGCCTGTTGAAAACAGAGACTCATTCGATCATGGTCAGTATATTCTGTCACGTGCAGGGGGGTACGCGTGACGAATATAACGGGTTCTAGATGGAATGATTGGATTCACTGGCACTTCGTTTACAATTTCTTTTAATTACAATTATTACAGCGCTGTCGCTGATTTACACAATTTGAATTTCACCGTTACACACGCACTATGACTCTCAGGCTTCACTAGTCGTCTCCTAGTAACGGAATTAAAACACTCTCTGTGACTAAATCTTCTAATCACACATTAAGTCTTCACAGACAGACTTCTAATTCCTCCTCAACTTCAACTGAACTGCTGTGTACAGTTGATTCGCCATTCTCTTGACTGAACTCTTGTAAGCTACAACAGGTCCTCTTTATATTGGCTCCACACGGACCACACAGAAAACAAAAGTCACGTGATCGCTATCCAGGTAGTTCATTGGTGGGCTGACTGCTGCCTAGCAACGAGCTACAACATTCGTCCACTGAAACACAGCCTCCAATGTTGCGCGTTGGAACGTGTTTACGGGCAATACGTTAATCAAATCCGTTACGATTCTAATCCAGTCAACGGTTCAACTGTATAGTGACTAATATCACTGAATTCTTTACTCTGATTTGATTCACTGACAGGATACTGATTTGACATATGCTTTATGATGGAGCGCTTTACTCCAGTATAGCACAAGTGGAACCAAGTGCTGTGAAACCTAGGGAAGCGGTATGAGAACTTCGTGGGAGATCACCACACAAATATTCAAAAATAGAATTACTGATATTAACAATTATTAGCACTGAAGCTCCATCATACCTTGTTCAAGTTAAACGGTATTGTAACTACTGGAACTGTGTCTTGGAGGAGACCATGAAGGCTACAAGAGCTGTCCTTCTACCTCTGGACAGTCCACAGCCCTTCCAGCTGCTTGAGTACTACACCAGTGCAAAACTCCATCTCTTATGTTCCTACTGGCTGCAGATTTGCTTTCAAGCAGGAGCCACATGAGGGTGCCAGCCAGAAGCTGCAAATATCAACGATAAAACTGCAAAAACAACGGAGCCAACACCCACGAATTTCATCGATTCTTATACGGTTACTCTCATAACCATGGTGCAACAGACATGATGGGTCCAAAGTCAGCAAAGACATAAAATGATAGTTTTTCTTTCATTATGCAAATGGTCTAAGGGCTCATTACAGAAAAATATGGGAGTGTCAAACACAAAACACTGCCTTGCAGACTGTACTAGTTGGACCCACCTCCTCTTCAGAGAGAAGAGAATGTAGTGTGAAAATCCAAAATGCACATCATACTCTAGTCAAAAACTTAACAAAGACTCAAGACAGAGACACTATGGGTCAGCTGAGGGAGCCTGCCCCCTGTGCCTGCACAGGGATTTATGGCCATTTGACGGACTGGTAGAGACATCTACCCTCTTACACTGACCGCCTGAAATGCTGACTTCTTTATTGTCTCACAGAGAGCAATGAAATTTTGTTCAACAAATCACAGATGTATTACTCTAAATTTGGGGAAATTTTGAAGCCGTGGTATTTTATAATTTACTTGCGCTTAGCAGATATGTCTGTGGATTTCAGATTGTGGATATTGCATTGATTTATTCTGAAAGCAGGCTTGCATTTTATTTTTGGATACAAGATTAGGAAATATAATCATGCTGGCAGACATATTAAAATAATATTCACTAATAAATCTACTTGTAATTTAGTGAGAGAAAGACGTTGTAAGGAAACATGACTGTCATAACAACAGTATTAGATAATATTCAGTAATAGTTATAGCTTAAAATGAGAAAAGTAATATAGCAACAATTAATGAATCAAACTGTTTGTTAGGGGCAAACATAAGGCTGCGCCATAGCTCAAGTGGTTATTCGCTGGCTTCCCACCGCGGCGGCCCGGGTTCGATCCTGGGTCTGGTCAAGTGGGATTTGTGGTGGACAAAGTGGTGCTGGGACAGGTTTTCTCCAAGTACTTCGGTTTCCCCTGCCAATCTTCATTCCACCAATTGCTCCATAGTCATCCTCATCTATCATCTGGGGCTGGTACAATAGGCCAGAAGTGGCCGCAGTACAAGGGACTTAGTCCCACCCCACTAGCAATAAAAAAAATAGGGGCAAACATGTATGCGAAGAAATTTTGCTATTGTGAGCTTGAGGTTCTCATGCTGTAACAGTGAAGATACTGTCTTTTGGTACGTAATGCTAAGCAGTCTGGTAGAAATTTACCGATGTGTTGAAGGATTGTGCTGTACTTTGATACCTTGCAGATTTGGGCAGCACATTCCTCCGAAACATTGGTAAAACTATACCACACAAAGAGATGTCACATCCCAGAAGACAGTGTAAATTCTTTGGTTTTTGTTTTGAACAGCACGTTTTCATTCCCACTGGCAAACAGCATAACATCTGTGAGTGATGAATTCCAAAGACTATAATGTAGCCAAAACTGTCTAATTTAAAAGCACAAGCCTGTACTCACTTGAAAAAACTGAAGAGAATCGATTTGAGAGCTCAGTCAGGATGTCCTTCCACCGGCCAAGATTTGGGTCCAGTACAATAGAAACACAGGTGGTGTTCACCTAATATCCATCCACAATGTTGAAAGTGTCAGGTGACCATAAAACGTAAGAATAAATTAGGCTGTGTGCCTAAGTACGCCATAACTCATATTGGAGACGTGGACATAAAGCCCCACACTTTCTAGACTTTGGAAATAGGAGAAAGTGAATGACAAATAGCATGTCTTAGCTACGCTATTCACGGGGAAAGAGCACATCATACACATTTGAAAAGGGACTGTGTGGGTTCCATACCCCATGATAAAGAGAGAAATCGTGTTCCTAATGGGAATCAGACTCCAAACATCCAACCTGTACCCAGTGGGTTTCCAAGCTTATCATTTATGATCTCAATTTTGACACTGTATGTAATAAAACTGTTTATTTTTTTGATAAAAATGAATAAAACAGCATGACTCTAAGGTTTTCAGTGTGTACAAATGTAACTTTTGGACCTCTCACTGTCCATTAGTAATGGACTGTGTCTGCTTCAGGTCTGATGGACTCCCTGTATGAGGAACTACGAGAGAACTCCCATAACATCAGGCTCACATGTGCACATCTGTGTGTCACTGACAAAAGAACAGACCTGTTGGAGCAGCTAGACCTTGGGTAAACCTCAAAGCACTTTAAAGTTTGAGCTACGTGATGTAACTGTTATAATTATCATCAACTCATAGTTATATTTATGACTAGATAATTCGGAATATTCAACAAGTACTGAAATTGTGCCAATTCTATCCTGGTGATAATCAGTGTATTTAAAAGTAAAGTGTACAAATAAAATGCAAAAAATACAAGAATATACTGCATGTGTGTTTGTTATAATGTAAAATGTTATATAACATTACATGCCCTCCTCATATTTTTATCTGGAAATATGTTACACGGTATATTTTCAAACGAAAACTATTCATTAGATTTATATACAAGTAATGGGTTTTGTTTTTATGTGCATTTCATTTAATTTCTTAGTCTACTTTCCTTGGTTCATGTGGAATGATGGTCTTATGTCTTCTTCAGGTTATGTGAGTCATATGCTCAAGTCAATGTGTATGTGCTCTCCTGTCTCCACCTGATATCCTTTCAACAGACAGACTTCATTTTGTGAAGCATGGGAGAACTTCATAACACTGAATTCTACCTCAGCTCTCCACTTTTTATGCCCTAAAATGCCCTAATACTCACTTCAGGAATGCACATAAGCTATAGAAGACTCTATTTAAATGAAACTCACAGCATGATTATGAAGGTATGCCACCATAAATCCACACCATTTAATTCCTTATCATTCACAGGAAAGACGGAGGGCACTGATGAAATTAATATCAAAGAAGAGAGTATGAAGTGTGGGACAATCCAGTTAGATAATGACACAGTCCACTAATAGGATTTTATAAAAAAATAATAATCAGCATTTAGTTCCCTAAGAAGGAACTATTGATCAGATGAGTAACTATCAACTGCTCTCCAAGAACACCTTATCTGGCTTTCATTATAAAAAAAACACCTTTTATGAAAATCGTGTTTGTCCCTCTGTTTGTGACCTAGTATGACCACCTAAACTGTCAGACAGACTTCTTTAAATTCAACATGTGAGACTTCTACTACAATTTGTCAGAGAATTCCAATTTTTGGCCACACTGATATATAACAAAGCATGTTTAACATAAAGTTATAATCTGACTGTTTCATATAGAGTGTATTGCTCAAATTTAGCGGCCTCCGTAGTCTAGGGGTAACGCTCCCACCTCATGACTCAAACCCGGCGGAGATCGTGGAATTTTTAAGGGCGGAAAAATTCAGGGCACAAGTCCTCCAGGAGGGACTTTAAGCTGTGGGTCCTGTGTCGTAGATTTATGGCATGTAAAAGATCCTCATGTCTCTAGGAGACCTCTGAGCAAAATTAGGCAAAAAAAAAGTTTCCCGCCCAAGTAGTTTCCAATGCCTCTGGTAGATGGGGGAAGTATCAGGTACCGAGGGTCGACCTTGTTGGCTGAACGGGGCTGATAGCATGCACCAGTACCGTTAGGGTATGGCGACTGGTAGAATATCAAAGGGGGACATACAATAGACTATTAGTCATGGTGCATGGGGAAACCCACCCCCTCCAATAATAATAATCGCTCAAATTTTGGTGAAATTCAGTATTGTAGTATTAGCAGGAGGGATGAGATTATCTGACCACATCTCTTGTTCACCAAAGGTTCCAGAGGACCCCCCCCCCTCCAGCTTTTAGGTTCATCAAGAAACGTACATCACCTAGTCAGCCACAAAAGCACAGGACCATTTTAGAAATGTTACATACTATTTATAAAACAGTGGCCGCCAGCCTGAAGTGCGACAGTTTTGGCTGTCTTAGAGACTGAGGATAGCTGGTGTGAATGTGTGTCAAAGTAAACATGGATTAGTGCATTTTGTGAATCACAATTTGTGCAAGCGCAAGGAGAAGACAAAACAGAGATGGTGCATTGAAACTGGAGTGAAAAGAACATAAGCTAACAAATAGATCTGAGGTGGCTACTAGCAGAGAGATCATAACTCTTCAAAGACACAATACTAACTTTGCATAACATTAGTCAGCAATTTTTGCGGGTTATTTAACAAGCATTGTGACTGTATAACTTCAGATGGTAGGATGATAGATGAATTGGAAAGAAGCATTTATTTCCTATTTGAAGCACTATCCCGGCATATTCCTGAGTGATTGAGTAAATTCAAAATCAAGCTCAGTCTAGATAAGAGGTGTACTGGCTGAGATTCGAAACCAGCACCTCCCAGATACAATACCTTCTCAACTTTAGCTATGTCAATTGTTAGCCATATTGACTGATTACATAGCCTATTTTACCTAAGACCATAAATGGACTTTTCTATGATAGCTGTAAATGGCATATCCTCGCAATGAGGCATGCAAAATTTGGTATGCTGATATATCGCAGACATAACTATAAACACCAATTGTCAATAGATTTTCCGTCAAGTGCAACAATATATACTTTGGTCACTTATTTATCTCATCTGCCTTACATGTTTCGGTTCCAAGGAACCATCTTCAGAGGCACTTATAACAAATTATGAAAACACTGGCACAGCTCAACATCCACAGTATGTAGTTATTTGTGAAAACTATTACATATATCGGAGTGTAAAGCACAACACTTCCCAGTATCTTGAATGCAGGTATAGCACTTGCATCTAAAAAACCACCCTCAAACCGAGTCGTCAACGTTAAAATTTAAAGTTAAAAATTAAAAAACGTTCAAGTAAAATATTCAGGCTCCTTCTTGGTGAATCGTCCCAATGGGGGGAGGCGTCAGCACGGGGTTGTGTGGGCTTGTGGTCGGGTGTATCTTACGCGATGTGTATTGTGTACTACTAATTGGTGATTAATAGTGTAACGGACCAAAATGAAACAATTCAAAATAATAACTATAAACTTTATGTGACTGCGTTATGGTGCTGTAACAATTACAATCATGTCAATAATTCAGATCTTTTGACATCATGTCTGACTTTCTATGAATTGTGACAGACTGCAAAGTTGTACACACATTAACATATAACCTCCTGTAGATTTTATGTCCAGGTCAGAGCATAACAGTGATTATGTGTGCAGGATCCCAGAGCTCTCTCCAGAGCATGCGGCAAGGGAGATCGTGAGTGCAGTGCTACACAACAAGATTACAGTCATTGTGCCCCACAACTTGCTCTTCTGGCAGAATGTTTTGAAGTATGTAATCTCAACATACAGTCTAGTTTGTAATAAATTTGTCTTGGGCTACCAGCTACATCAGTTCCGAATAGAAGTCAGATATTTCAGAAAACAGGTCTATCTTTGACATCGGGGATGGATGATAGAGATGGAGCATATCTACAAATATTGCGTGTCTGTTCTGAAATGATGCAACTGGCATTCTGAGGTGATTTTATCATTTGAATTTGCCATGACAGCTTGAATTCTTACATTTGTTTAGTAGACTACAATGTAGTTCAGTGAGTATTATTTTGTGCAATTCAGTGAGCTTTAAAGCTCTGTACTGGTGTTTAACACAGTGTAGTTTTGTGCAATTTAATTCAGTATAATGCACTTTAGTTCAGTGCAGTTTAGGTTACAGTGTGAATTTAGTCCAGTTATTGTTTCAGATCACTGTAGACCTGCTTAATTTAATTAATTTGGCAAATTTTGGGTTCATACAATTTTTTTTTAATTCGCTTACTGGGGGGTGGAGTCCAACTGGGTCCACTCGGCATGGCGGCCACTGATTGGCCTATTGTAATCTGCCCCGAGTGATTATGATGGAGAATTTGGGGGAATGAAGACTGGCAAGGGAAACCGAAGTACTCGGAGAAAACCTGCCCCAGCACCACTTTGTCAACCACAAATACCACTTGACCAGACCTGGGATCGAACCCAGGCTGCTGGTGGGAAACCAGCGACTAACCACTTGAGCTATGGCAAGGCCCTTGGTTCACACAATACAAATTACTTTAGAGTATGTCACTCTGTGTGTAGTTTATTTCAGTGTAGCTTATTATAATGCAGGTTATTGTAGTGCAGTTTAGCTTACTTTGTTTGTTTACTTCATTTTGTTTTCCATAATGTTTGTCTCAGTCTAAACACATGAGGTTGTATTATGGACATGTCTAATTCAGATGACTGGTGATTGAAATGTCTATTTTACCTTGCTGAGGTTCTTCATGATTATCTTCAGTCCTTTATGCAAACTTAGATCATGACTGCTTTCTTCTACGTCCTTTCCATTTCAGTTTTCAATATCATCTGGTTGTTCAGCTCTAGTTACTGGAAGAGTTTTTAATAAACTACAGTATAAGTACATTCCAGGTGAGGCATCATCTGATTCTACTATTCTTAATATTGCAGGACACTCCCTCAGGATGCAAGGGGCATCTGGCAGGGTATGTTCCATGCTCGAGTGGCTCCAGATGGGACACAGTCTCCTGCACCTCGCTGCAGTGTAGTTTCCAGCAACAGAATCAAGGCTTGAAACTTGCCAAGTCCCAGCAGAACCAATGATAAGTCCAGGTTGAGTGATCAGACTGCCACAGTAAACTTTATGACAACCAGATGAAAAGTCTGAATCATGTAGTTACATGCATGTTCTCAATCTCTGACTATATATGAGTATGTGAATGACACATTTTGTTCATTATGATCAGTCATGTCATCGTATTGTGCATTCTTTCGAAACACTTAGTTTGTGATATACATCAGTGCTTATATAATTTGAATAATTTATGTAATGAACCATGAATAATCTGGATAATATGAAGATTCTATATCTTTACTTACAGTCCTCTATATTCACACCTTGAAGGAATGCTTTATATTAGAAGTGTGTTTGTCTTTTATTGCAAGGAGGATAGCAAATTAGTGATATAATATTTGTATTCAGATATATCCTGGTGATCCTAAATTTCAAATCATGTGATACCTTAAACAAAAAAAATATTCATGTACAATGTCATAGCTCTTAAATGATTCATTGCCTCTCACACTGTGATGTACATTACTGTGAAGCAATTAAGTGTAAGATGTAGCGCGTTGTACTATATATGATGTTCATATCATACATGTGTAATTATTAATTAAATTTGTCACACATATTACATTCCCTGCATTCAACGTGTTCGTAATACAAGAAGAGTGAAATCTACAGGCTTATTCCAGTGGATTAAACATATTTCCCAAATGAGTTCTTTGCAACTATGCACATCACATTTGACTTGTAATTTCTTCTTTGCAGATATAAACCAAGGGATAATAGGTCTGTTGTACTACAGATGCAATGTTCCACAGAATAAGAATCATTTTGTTTTATGAAGTTAAGTATTCGCTATACGAAAAATGTTTTGAAACATAAGTTGTAGATCTTAATAAGATCTACATTTTACATAATACTTTAATTTCTATGGTCAGCTGTATTTAAGATATTTGATAAAGATTTTGTGGGCTTCACATAAAGTATGGGTTATAATTTATCTGTGTACACCACAATTCTGTTTACCAAAGGCATTTACTGTGTCTTATAAAATTAGATAAATAGTTCTGGAGACAAGACATATGGATATCTTCCCCTTATGCATTTAATTTTATATGCTTTGTACAAATTCCTCCTACAAATTTATGAGGGCAATTCGGAAAGTAAACTTCGGTGAGCTGTTTACAAAACAAGCAATGAGAATAAAAAATTATTGAAGGTAAGAAAGGCAAAGCTTTCCATGTACTTAACTAATTAAGCACTACGCCATGAAGACATATGGGGGAATATACAGAAAATACCTACATACTCGTAATGTAGTCACCACCAGAATTCAGGCACTTGTATCTGGGAATAAGTCTTCGTATGTCTGTGTCAAAGAAGTCTGCTGCCTGTGAGCTTAACCACGTTTTCAGACCTTCCATCAACTCCTCATTATTGTTGAACTGCTGTGCTCTCAAACAGTTCTTTAGGTAGGTGCCAGTAGAGAGGTGGTAGTTGCTCAGAGCGAGATCACGGCTGTAAGCAGGGTGGCCAAACAACTCCCAGTTGGAATGCTCTAGCAGTGCTCAATTGCGAACAACTGTATGTGGATGCACACTGTCATGGAGGAGCACCATTCCGGATGTCAGCATTCCCTACACTCCTTTTTAGTTTTTCGCATGCAATACACTTCTGACATTATTGTGGTCCCTTGTTGCATGAATTCCACCTTCAGAACTCCTTTCCTGTTCTATAAAACAGTTGCCATTAGCTTTCTGGTCAATGTTTTTGACATGTTTGGTGAATGTGTGCATCCACTGCTTTGACTGCCCTTTGGTTTCAACATTCACAAATTAAGTCTAGGTTTCATCCCCTGTTAAACGCTGTGATTGAGAGATTCATCGCTATCTTTGTGGTATCGCTCTAAAAGCGTCTACAAAAGCCAAAGCCATTGTCTGTGTTCTGTGCACACCCATGAGCATTTTTGGAACCCATCTTGCGCAAAACTTGTGATGAGGGCCTAGCCTAACTGTGAAAATCTCATAGAGAAGGATGCGTTAAAATCGTGGAAATTCACACAGAAGTTCTGAAATTGTGAAGCGCCGTCTTTTACAAACTTTTTTGGTCAACGTTTTAAACAAGATCATCATCACTCACTGCAGATGGCCGCCCTCTTCTCCCTTCATTGTGAACATTTGCTCTCCCATCTTTGAACATTCTACACCAGTGTTCCGCAACCTTTTTCTACACCTCGACACACCATTAAGTATCCATGACTCAACACGGCACACCAAAATGTTATTCCCCTCAAAAACGTATATCAGACAATTAATATAAATACGTAACGTGATCAACTTATTACTATAATATTATTATATTGTTATTTTATTATCTTTAAACAGAAATCGACTCGTGCATTTATTAGCAATTAATGAACTTCAATTGACTGTAGAGTGTAGAAAATACACTTCTATTACTATTAAAGTAAATACAGTAATTCTACTCGTACCTTTAATGTGATACTTGCGCCTGCGTAGCTGCATACAGGCGACTGATCCGTGGTGGAATCGTTGACAACGCAAGTCTCATTTCTTCATCGGTGGATTTGAGCCGCTCCCTCTGTGATGTCTTAATTTCAGTTAACGTCGAGAAGCCCAGTTCACACAAATATGTAGTTGAAAATGGCAATAACACATTAACTGCCATCTCGGAGATAGCCGGGTATTCACTCCTTATTGCCAACCAAAACGTATCCAAAGGCACTTCGAGAAGTTTTAGTTTCAATGTTCTGTCTGCTTTTAAATCTGCGAGTTCCTCTTGTATATTAATCAGAAGATGTTCTGAATTCACAACAAATGGATCACGAACTCAGTCGAAATCTTGTACACTCTCTCCAAAATGCTTATTGAATTTCTGCTGCAGCATTTCTAAATGTTCTTTAATTGTGTCCATCACCACTTTATTGCCGTCAGCAAGTGGCCATACAGTCGGGGACATCTCAAACGACCCATCTGTAATTCTCCAACTAGCAACCAAAATTTGCGAACTACTTCAGAAAAATAAAAATAAATCAATAATGAAAAGTATGATATAACAGCAAATGTCCGTAAATAATTTACGTTTAATTTCTTAGAATACAACATTACTGTACATAAAAAAACACAGCATGCAATAAAGAATACGCAAGCATCATCTTATTTAATGAGTGCAGTGGCTGAGAATAAAATACAAGCATATGAAACACGGTAACTGGGATAAAATAAAACGAATAAAATTCGACAATTAATTTCTTACAATAGGTAAAAGTTCGCATCACACCTTTCACCTTGTGACAGCACACCGGTTGCGGAACACTGGTCTACACCATTGTCTTACGGATCCTTCACTCATTAGATTTTGGTCATAAACTGCGCATGATTCACGATGGATTTCTATAGCATTCATGTTTGCAGCCTGAAGAAAGTGTATAACAGTACGAATTTCGCAGCTGGCGGGATTATCAGTTGTAGGATAAATTTCAGCTTCCTTCAAAAGTTTCCCCAGTATACGTTACTTTTGTAACCACTGTTATAATCCTTTTGTTGCGGGAACCCCTTCAAATGGCTCTAATACGTTGCAGAAGCATTTCCAGATCAGTGTTTGCTAAACTGTCTTTGCTGTTTTGGACCATATTACTCGCCCTCCAGTTGTATGTAATGATTTGGACACCTCTGTATACCACTGGATGATATGAATGCGGGACAGTTAGTGGAACATGAACTAGCAGAGGAAACCTGTTCCGGGGCCATTTTGTGAACATAAAATCTCAGATTACCTGACCTTCGTTATGCCAATGTTAATTTATTGGGCGAAAACATAAACACCATAAAGAATACGCAGCTCTATTAGGCGCTAATATGGATGTTGGTCGAGAAGTAGGTTAAATGAAAGAAATCTAAGTTGGCTTATATTTCGAATGCAAGACAATACCTCAGCCTAAATATAGCTAACAGAATCTTTAAGAATGTGGTGAACTTCAGATACATGAGAACGAAACACACACATAAATCTTATTCGTTGAGAATTTAAGAGGAGATTAGACGCGGGGAATGTTGCCTGTCATTTCGTGAAGAAACTTCTGTCTCATCTGTGATTTAAAAACGTCGAGATTAAAACAGATAACATTTTAATATTTTCCTATTATTTTGTATGAATGTGAAACTCCCTCTCATAAGAACGTTGCCTGAGCGTGTCTGGGAAGAGCACTGAGCACAATATTCAGACGTAGAATGGAGGAAGTAACAGGAGACTGGAGGAAACTACGCAGTGAGAAGTTTCATAACTTCTATTCCTCACCAGAAGTTACTGGAATGATCAGGGCCGCGCCATAGCTCAAGCGGTTAGTTGCTGGCTTCCCGATCCCGGGTCTGGTCAAGTGGGATTTGTGGTAGACAAAGTGGCGCTCCTGCGGGTTTTCTCCGAGTACTTCGGTTTCCCCTGCCAATCTTCATTCCACCAAATTCTCCATCATCATAATCACCCGGGGCAGGTACAATAGGCCAATCAGTGGCCGCCGTGCCGAGTGGACCCAGCCGGACTCATCCCCCCACTATGCGAAAAGAAATTACTGGAATGAACAAGTGACGACGGGACTTGTAGCACTCAGGGGAGGTATGACAAAGTTCTGGCAGGAGAAGATGAAGGAAAGAGATCACCTGGAAGAGCTAGGCATATATGGAATTATACTGTTAAAATAAATCTTCAAGAAATAGGCTGGTTAGAATGGAACAGATTTATTCAGGTCAGGATAGGGCCAGGGGCCGGCTTCTTGTAAATACAGAGATGAATTACAAATGATATAACATATCAAATACAGCAATGAACTTTCATGATCCATAAAATACCGGAAACTTGACTAGCTGAGCAATTATTAGCATATCAAGAAGGACTTTTCACCATGGAGGTATTTCGTTAACTTAAATGAATTCTGCATTTACAAAATGTTGCGACCACCGCATTGTGAAAGCGTTCCATTGCTGTCAAGTGCTGGCCCCTCTCAGTAGAGGCCACTCGAAGCGAGCGACTTGACACAGCACGCCATCCTGTGCATCCACGCTTACAGCAATGTTCTTCCTTTTTTCCTCTGTTGTTTTCTGAGTTTCAGGATGATCTCAGTACTTGAAATCATATGTCAATATGAGTATTCTTATGTCATGTACTTTGTTCTTTTTTTTTGGGGGGGGGGTTAGCCACCCCCACATTGGAGGGAATAACTCAACATATTGTAGCGTGTCTTGAGTTCAAACCTTGTCGGTCACGTGTGTAAGTTCAAATCCCACTTCTGACACCAGTGTAGCGTGTTTTGCGTGTCACGCTACAGATAAATTCACGTGGGTCTCAAATTCCGTAGAACCTTTATATTGTTCTTCACTTATACACTCACACGCTTTACAATTGTCATCACTTGCAGTGTTACAATTACTGCTTACAATCTCTCGGCGGTATTGGACTCTCTTCTCTGGCGGTTGTTCTAAGACTGACTGTGCGAATGCATTCAACCCCGCTATATAACCTTGGTCGCTGCTATGCAACGGACCCTTTGTTATAACCATGGAGACTCCTGTTAGAACTACAATAGAGCGATTGTTGTTTCCTATGCAACGGTCT